GGCTGCTCCTTCCATGCAGGGCCTGACATCCCCAGCGCACTCCCAGTGCACCAGTGGTGTAGTTTGCCTGGAAAATCTGTCAGGCAAAATTTGTTGGGTTTTTCACAGCTCTGATTTCTCTATCCCCGAGAGTGTCTTTGCTAAGAGAAAGCATTGATTTTTGCCATCCGGCACACACACGTATGAATATGATTCATTCCACCCCATTCCTCAGAATAACTTTGGTGAGTTGTTATCCCTGCTAAAATGAGCCTTTTCACAGTTCTGTATTTCCACCTAGCACACCCACAATAAAATTACCAGAGGTGAAATAAACTTTCCTTGGCTTGAGAAGAAATTTTATGTTGTTCTAGGGGACTCTTTCTGAAGAAATAATAGTTATCTTTATACTACATTAATTTATATGTAAACCTAGCACCATATTTATTTGGGGTCAATATAGGGTCAACAGAAACAAGCACAAGCAGTTGGAAACAAAGGTCCACTCGTACCATTACACTACATTAAAGTTAAAAGTATCTATTAAAGGCCAGATTCCACCACATTAACTAAAAGTTTCAAAATCTGGCTAAAAAAATAAGGCCCCATTCAAAAGTAAATGCTAAAATCAAAATGTTTCTTAGCATTAGGATTTTCTCAAGTACCTACTCAGGCAACTTTTGTTAATAGATTGAAGGGCAACATTTCAGGAACCATTTTTAAAGTGTACATATTTTATGTGTTAAATTGGTGAACAGGGCATGGGCTGCTGAAGAAATCCTATAATATTGATTGTATGCTGCAGACCTGAGTCGTCATTTTGTCTTATTGCAGTGTCTCTTATTCTCTCAGTTCAGTTAAACCTGCAAACAATTCAGCCTTTAGAGCTTTAATATTTTCAAAGAGACATTCATGTCCAGAAGATGTCTTAGGGTGTTTGTTCCGTCAGGCTGGGTTTGATATTCCTATTAAAAAATATATATGGCTCACTTGATGAGAAAATCTGCTTCAGAGAGAAGGATTTTTCTTCAGCTTAAAAATCTGAAATATAGCATTGAGTATAAAAAAGTGAAGAGGCAAGTCTTGTAGCGAGGGATAGAAAAGAAAAATGACTGTGAACTTGTCCTATTGAAACTATTTGGATTTATTAGGAAAAGGCTAAATCCTTTGCTAGTAAGCTAATTAGAATTATTTATTATGTTGAGGGATTTTTGTGGGAAGAAGGAAACTTACTTTGAAAGCTGCAATCATAAATACTTATCTCTTTTGGCTGAGTAATGAAGAGGTAAACAGACAGGAGTGTGATGACTTTAGGTCTTACATTTTACCGGAGCAGATTATGTTTTAGCTTATAAATAATCATGGTCAAACTCTGGCTGGTTTTGTTCTGGGCGAGGCTGGGCAGGCACTGGTAGCAAAATCCAGAGAGTGATAGGAAAACACAGCGTGGATAAAGTCCTGGGCCCTGGAGGGGAGGACAGGGGCGCTGCTGTTGGCACTCTGCCAACTGAAGCACCACAAATCCTGGCACGGGTGACAGCTGGGAACACAAGTTGGGAGCTGAAGATTTTGGCAGCTGCCCACTGATCCTCTCATGTATCTCTCTGAGAGTGTATACATTCACAAAGTGTGAATGAGCATAAACACAAGTCCTTGTACCGCACCCTGAAATCCTGGAGCACGAACCCGACCTGCTGTGCTCTTCCCTTTCCATGCATCACGTCCTTAGGGGGAAGGGTGACATCAGGCGCTGGCCCCGCGCCCGCCTGGTCGCGGGAGACCTTTGGGGTGGGACGCAGGGCTGGGCCACGGAGCCCTCCCGGGACAGGTGTGGGGCAGATGGGCTGGCAGCCATCCCACACCACCGACTGGCAGCCTGGCAGCCGGGGCTCCTGCTCCAGTGACAGCACATATTTCATGGAGCTTCCCTAGCAGGCTCCAGGAACGGATGTGCTTGTACACAACGGCTGCAGCACTCACAGAACTTGTACAAATGAGGGCAGAACTTTAAAGGATGAAGCGTTGAGATGTTTGTCTTTAAAAAACCTTGATGCAAGTTTTTCCTTCATGTTATAATAATCTTCCTCTTAAATCCAGTGGCTGCTCTGTCAATATTTTTGTTTTGTGCTACTATTTCCTACAAAAGAAATGTTCTCTAGATTCAGATTTGGAAGAGAAGTATATGCTCTATTCTAAATTATTTTTGAAAAAGCTGCACTTATCACAGAATTAAAAAGCAGGGGCCCAGGATGCTGCTGTTGCAGTGGTACATGGGAGGAACCCAAGTAAATAGGAAGTGGGCAGGTTATTTTTCCAGCTGTTGAGAACTCTGGTGCCAGATTTTGAGCTGTGATGTGACTGAAGCAGTTTGAAGGGGCAAAGGTTACCCGTCTCTAAATAAATGCCATATTGCTGCAGTGATGATCTTCGTCTCACCACTGTGATACACTAAAGGGTGGAGATACCTCCTCTGTTTGATGGACATTTCCTGCTCAGAAAACTCCATCCCACATCTCCTGTGCTGGGCATAGCCCTGAGCAGGGGTGGCAGGCAGAGACATGGGGAAGGATTATGGACTTTTGTGATATAACACTCACTAAGAAGCATAACCAGTGGCAGAAATTCCTGAATTGTTGGAATTATTTGTCAGCAGCTCAGGCCTTCACCAGAGATATGAATTTGGGTATAGGTGAAAAATAATCCTGGTGTCTTTTGTGTTACAGGAATTCATAGCTAGGCCTGAGCTGAGGGCTGACTTTCTCCAGGACTGGGGCTCATATTTTATTCCTGGGCAGAGGACTGTCTTTGGGGCACAGTTTGGGTGGATGAGGAGGTGTGTGATTGGTGCTTGTGAGACAGGCCTTAATTTTTCAGATTTGTCATTGAATTTCAGTGTGATTCTGAACCATTTCTGTATGAGCTTTATCAATATCACGCTTGATCATCTGAAGAAGGAAACAGTAAATGATCATTCACAAAATTTGGAAGATGGGCGCAATTACTCAGGAAAATAAAGCCATGATCCATTCGATCATGATGGGTGATGTCATGAAATAAAAGCTCAACACTAGTATTTCAATCTCTCATAGATTCTTTTCCAGAAATATTCTGTAAGACAATTTTCAAAACCATGCACTTACCAAGTACCACATAATGAGGTAATAGTGAGTGCTGTATAAAAAAAGAGCTCAATCTTTCAAGGAGAAACAGATTAAATCTACAGAAACCTGAGGGTGTATTTAACTCAGTAATATCCATAGCAAGCAGAGTTTTCCCATGTCAGCTCATTTAACTTACTTTACAAACTCACTAAACAAGGCACACAGCAATCTGCAGTCCCAAAGCTGAAATCTTCCAAGGTTAAAGTGACAAAACTGCAGAAGGTCAGGCCACTCTGCCAGTGGCGAGAGCTTTGTCTGCACCAGTCATTGTCTTATTATTCACCCTTTCCTCGCAAGCACACTAAAATTCACCAAAATATATTTAAGTAAAGCAGGCATTTGTTGGTTTTTGGCACTGCTGTTTCTAGAATGGGGTCTTCTGGGGGGGGGCATAGGGAGTGAACTCTCACTCTTGCAGTCTTGGAAATGCTGTATCACCTCTATTTTATTTCAGTTTCTGATTCATTTTGACATCATCTTACATATTCCTGCCTTAAAGGTCAAACCTGCTTCTTGCCAGGGACAACTGACAAATGAGAATATCGGAGTTTGAGAAAAATGACATCCATAATAGGTTAATCTCATCTTTATCAACCCAACTTGATGGGATGCTCTTGAAAAGTGATTGGAGATATTCACCAGGAGCATTTCTGAGTCTGTGAAAAGCTCAGCTTAAGCTTCCGCCATAACAGGCTGTAAAACTGATCAATGTCGTATCTGAAAAATATTGGTGGATCCAGGCAGATGCCAAGTTTTCCCAGTCACTTAGGATTACTCCATCAATGAACTTGAGCACGTAACTAAATCTGCAAAGGTGCCCTCCAGACAGAACAGTTTTGAAAGGACCTTACTGCCAAAAGAGCTCCAGAAAAAGTACATTGTGTTTTTGTAAGATGTGTTTTTGGAGCTGAGTAATAGAGAAAGGAATTTTAAAATACTTTGAAAAAACCCTGAACAAACTCAGCATATTACATGTATGTCCACAGCAGCACTGCAGGTTTAGCTGGTGTGTTTGGCATATACAATCAATATGGATACAAAGATTGAGAACAAAGATTGACTGAGATAAGGAACAGAAAAACTAAATGGCCCACAGCTCTTGACAGGGAACATCTCTAGGAACAATGGTTCCCTGATTCCCACAGTTCCAGAACTTGGGGTCACCAGATGAAATTATCACGTGACAGTTTGAAAAATGAGAGGTACTTAACCCCCTGAACGCAGCACCACAGGCTGCTGCTGATGCAGGAAGCTCCCATGAATTCCAAAACCAATCCATCTCATGCCCCTGGAAAGCGGGCGGGGGGGAAATCAATACTCACTAAACAGAATTTTCTGCTATGACCCAGTAAGCTCCCCCCCCAAAAAAGGGGGCTGTAGCCTGAGAGAGACCAGGTCAGTCCTCACAATAACACAGTTGTAGCCTTAAACTCTCCAGGCATCTCTTAGGGGCCAGTGAAGGACTTGTCACCGGGCTAAGCAAAGTTATTGGTGTGGCTTCATGTTTTTCTTTGCTTCTTGTTGGCTGCCTTTTACTGCTCTGGTTTAGGATGGCAAATGACATCAGGTAAATTACAGCTGTTGTGTAGGAAAACACATTCCTTTTATACTGAGTAGGAAATAGCCCATCTGTGGGGGGAAAAAAATATTTGTAATTTACATAATACAATGTGTCTGTCTGGGCTCCTCAATAGCCAAATGAGTTTGGGAATATGGAATCACAGAATCATTTAGGTTGGAAAAGACCCTTAAGATCCTCAGGTCCAATCATTAAATAATTAATGGGTTTTGGGCTGCCCACAAAGAAAATAGTCTTGGGGTCACCAGATGAAATTATCACGTGACAGTTTGAAAGGGAGTGCTGTGAGCATCAGGCTGTTCAAAGTTTAGGCCAGCTCAGGAGTGATGTAACACATCATGCTGTAAAATAAGAAAAGTAATCTAACTCTGTAAAGGCTCAATTTAAAAGTGATATACAGAAAAAATTAACTATGCCTCTTCATAAATAATGTTAAAGAAAACAAACAGTAAATTGAAATTATTCTTTACAAATGCAGTTCAAAAAGACTTACTGTCAGAGCAGCACCCTCCTGTTGCAAAAAACAGTCAGTGTAGATGCTCTAAAAATGCTGAATGCAATTTATAGATTCATTTTTATGCTAAGATGACACTAACACGGTACCATGATTATTAATTATAGCAGAGTAAAAACCATCTGTGACTTGGCTTCTCTCTGCTGATAGAAAAGCTGTGCTGAAAGCTGCAGCAACGTCTGAGTAGTTTCATTCAGCACCGTATTACTCCAGTTTTCAAGTGATGTCATGCAACATTCCAGCAGTGGGAATGTGAAGTACCACAGTGGGGAGTCAGTCCTCTGCTCTGCCTCATCCAGGACAATGAGCAGGTGACATATGGGCCACAGCAACATGTTCCCTAGGAGAGAGAGTCAAATGCAAAACAAGGAAGAGCATCTTCTAAGCAATCCCACAAAGCTTAATTTCAAAGGTGTGAGCTTAGTGCGATCTAACAGCTCTTCAGCAGGTGCCCACTAAGTATTAGAAGTGCAAATGGTCCAAGTCACCCTCCTGCTAATTGGGCAGGATTGACAGTCTAAAGCGAATTCCTGTCCTTGTCTAAGTCAATTCCAATTGATTTGGAGGGGGGAATGAAATCATCCTCCAAGTCCTCTTCTGTGCAGTCCATCACAATTACTCACAGTCTGCGTTTCACATTGCTCAGAGAAGTGCCAAAGCTAAAACCTTGAGGAGCAGACCTTAATAAGACTATTTAAATAACTTTAATAATCTCATCCTTTAATTTTTTTTTTCTTGAGGAAATCCTAATTGACTTTGGTTTTACATAACCAGAGCTAATCCAAAATACGTCTCTTCAGGCCATTTTCTGGCCTTCCATAGATCATAACACACTTTTTTTTTTTTTTTCTTTCTTTAATCTTTCTCCTTGCTGGCAAAGGAGTGAGAGATATTGTGAGTGGAGCTCAGTGAAGGTCAATTGCAAAGTTCCTCACTCTCACCTTTGAAATAATGAGGGGGAACAGTGCCCAACAGGTAGAAGATTAAACTGATGAAGATGCCTTGTGAGGAAGGTATGAGGAATTATTATCGATAGAAACCAAGTGAGTGTAGAGGGTGTAACTTAGAGATTCACTATAGGCATTTTCCCTAAAATAGGAAGAAGCATTTTCTAATATTACTGAAGAATATTAGTATTACTATTACTGCTGTTACCATTATGACTTTCACCCCCAGGGCTCAGGTCAGCAACAACAACAATTTCTACAGGGTTATCAGGATTGCTGAATGTTTCCTTTTCTGCTCAGTGATGCTCAACAGCCTTATTTCTGGTCAAAATAATTTTAGTGGGAACTATGAAGCATAAAAATAATTAGATCAATTTTCATAAAGACATCTTTCCCTCGTGAATGCAATGTGCAGTCCCAGCAGAGCAGGGGCAGCAAATCACTGTCTGTGCTTTCTCTCAGGGACCTAAATGAGCTTCAGTTTTTAGCAGGAAAGGGGTTACAATAAACTGTGTTCTCCCCTTTTTGGATTCCCAGCTGTAGAGGAAATTAAGCAATGAGGTGAAATAATTGTTTAAAATTACTGAAAATGAATCTTGATCACAACCTCAAAACTGAGAATCATGATCATTATATTTGCATTCTCATGAATGTACATGAAGTTATTGTTGTGTACCAGAGGATATATTTGTGTATTAACTTTATCAAATTTAAGTGTTTGTGATATCTCAGTGAGCATGAAATGTAGTTACTTGGTTGCACCTGTTCATAATAATTGGATTCAATATTCATGAATGATTTTCCAGCAACCATGTGCGTGAGTAACGATCATTAAGACAGGCTTCCAGCTCCCCAAATGTTGCACTGCAAGTGATCTGTGAGCTCTGGGAAAACAGAGATTTATAAAATATCAGCTGACACTTGCAAATGCATTCACAGGTGACTGCTTCTCTTGGCCAGGGCAAGAAATCCCTGCTTGCTTACAGGTGGGAATTCACCTTCATGTAAGAGTTAGGAATGATGGCAAATGGCAAGGGACACTATCTAAGGCAAAAAAGATCATGATAAAACTAACAACTGTTAGGTGAGCTGAAACAGAGGCAGCCTGGAAAAGGCAGAGGATGAAATTATTGAAAGTTAAATGTGCCAAGACTGGAAAAAGTCAAAGAGCAGAAATCCAAGCAAGCAAAACAAAACATAAACCATGAAGATAAAAAGATGATTTAATTTGCCTTGTCGTAATGAAATACATACTTTGTCTTCCAAGAGACCTTTGTTTATCCCTGAGCTTATCTGTCCTCCTCCTTTGAAAGGTTTTTGGGCCAAACCAGAATCCTGTTGGAGCTGACAGGAGTAGCACCTTAGGCTAGGTGAGCTAATGGAGCTGGGGGAAGTGTCCCCACCCCTCCCCCTGGAGGGGTCACAGGATATGGTGATTCATTCAGCCTGTTCCTGTCAGACCAAAAATCCTCACTTAAATCACTACTGTTTGTTCTTGTGAGATCAGGTTATTGCAGTGCCTGCTGAAACAGCGTCCGAACAATGTTTCTATTCTCAGATCTTCCAGGTCATTATTCCTGATAACCGTCACAGTTCAGATGAAAGTAATTACTTAAAGATGGAGATAATCTGTCTAACAAAGCCAGCAGCCAGGCTGGGACATCACTTACCTTAAAATTTGCATTGCTCTGAAAACATTTCAGTTATCAACACTGTGGATGTAAAATAAATATGAAATATTAAAGCTCATACCAAAGGTTTGCACAGAGGACCTATTCCTCAGTGCAGTATGAGTCAGCTACAGCTACACAGCCACGCAAGAGCAGACTCCTAATCAAAATCAGTCACAATTAGTCTTTCACTGATTTCAAAAGGCTCTGAGCAGGTGCTCAGCTGGCTTACATTACGTATTGAGGGAAGTCTTCGGCCCTAAAAGTACATCCCAGTGCTGCTGGCTAATTAGAAACTGGCACATCTGAGTCACAGCAAGGCTAAAACTGAGTCTCCGGGGTATTATCCAATGGCTTTTACTAAAGATGTGACAGCCATGAGATTGCTGTGTGTAACAGGAGCACAGCTCCCCCTAAGTTTTGCCTATGGACAGGGATTACAACAGGCTCCGTGGCTGCAGGCTTTGCATCATTGGCACCTAGAAAGCAGATGAAAACCAGCCTCTTTCTCCTCTCCTTCCATCTCTGCTTAGGTCAGCATCTTTCTAAGCAAATCTTACAGTTCTTGCCTTGCACATGTTGAATGATTGCCTGGGCAATCTGTCTAAATTGTTCTACCAACCTTTAAATATCCTCTGAATCCCATCTGATCTCGTATCAGATGGTACAGGGAACAGGCAATTCCCAGCGAGGTGCACAGTCAAAGATCATACAGACAGCTGGGGTTTGGCTCACCTCTGCTTTACCAGAACTTCACTTGGCTCTGATTCCACTAAAAAAAGATCAAAACTTATCAGGAAGATCTAAATGAACACATAGGTTGATCCAAGAGCCGCAAAAAGCAGGAATAAGGCACTTTAACCCCCATGGAGTGCTTTTCCCTTGTGTGCTAAGAAAGGGCAAAGAAAGCTGAAGCGGTAATTTCTGTTTTGGTGACATTTTACAACAATATGTATTTTCTACAGGTGAAGACTTGAAAAAGAGTAGCTCCATGTTTAGATCTGATAAAGACCAAAGCAATTAGCAGTCAGTTCTTTAGATAAGTAATCAGCCAGGATAAGCCTGCATATTGGGGAAATTCAGGGGCTTTTACAACTTCTGGGGATGGCTAAGTGGGACCGTGCTGGGATTACTCAAAATATCTAATACAACAGTTATCCGACACCTATGGATGGAGGAAGCTCTGGAAATTGAAAAAATATTTAATAATCAGTTGCTCTTTACATGGGCAAAGAGATTTTTTTGTTTTTCTCTTTTCCCTGCTGTAATGTGACTTCCCCTTAACAAAAGCAGTCAGGCTCCACAGAAATGAGGATCTCAGAAAGCACCCCAAACATGTGGTCTACTTTGTTGCCCCTCACTGGCTATAATTGTGGCTCACAAAAATAGGAGGACTGACAAGATAAATTTTCTTTAAGGACACAGCCATTTACTGAACACAAATTCTGAAAACTCACAAGTCTGGAGCCACAACTTACCTCTGATTTGGTATTCATCACGTTGAAAGCTACTACTCATGAGTTGTACCACCTCATTTCAGAGCTTCAGCTCCCCAAGTTATGCTATTTATTGCAGAAGGAGCAAAATGCAATTTGGTTTGCCATTATCTATTTCATAAAAACGTGTCCCATGCTAATGTCAGGAGAAGAGATGACAGCAGTCTTCAGCACAAACGGCAGAACAGGGTAGATTTAGGGTGTCATAATGAGATTAGAGTGAGACAAATAGAAGATAATACAAGCAGAAGACCACGTGGATCAATACAGGGATTTCTGTAATGGAAAGCTGAATATGCAAAGATCGGGCATCGGTTCTAATTTATCACTTTCATCTCTTTCTGCTTTTGAAATCTAGTTAAGTAGCATAATACTGGCCTAGAGATTTAAGGAAGAAAATGTCATCAAGCATTATTAATCTTACTTATATATAATTGCATAAAAGAAGTAAAGGAAAACAACATTGTTTATCTTTGTTTTGAAGCCTGCAGATATTGTGGCTATTTTGCATAATGCATATTGGTATCAGTTGATGGGGAGTTGTTTTTAAACCTAAAATGAATATTAAATGTTTATGGCCAGTCTTTTAATACTGCTCTAGGAACACAGAGCGAGTTCTCCCCCTCACTACCAGCCCTGCCTGCTGCCTGTGTGGTTCTGCTCAACGCAGCCAGTGCCAGGCTCCCCTTGGGCACTCACACCTTCCTCCTTCTCTTTGCAAAGCCCACTGCGCCTGAGGAGAAACCCCATATCACAGAGTCCAGGGGCAGGATGTGACTTACAGGATCAGGTAGCATTCCGTGCACTGGATGCTGCCCAAGCCCTTGACTGCTTGGGGTTTAGTTATTCTTTCCATATATTTTCTTACCCGGAAAGAGCAGTGCAGCTGGCATTGGAATGGGAACGCAGTCATCCTTGGGGAGCCCACTGGGGGTGTCCTTGGAAGCAGGTTCTTGCTGGCAGCAGCAGGTGGAAGCTACCTCATCCTGAGCTAAGGGACATGGCAAGGAATGCCCAGATCATCACCTGCTGGTGATCTTCCATCCCTTTTGCTGGGATCAGACTGAGCCAACTCGGGGCTGTTCCCTGTGCCCCCGGTGTGCCTGGAGCGCTGATGGGCATCAGTCGGCGAGCTGGAGGCACCACAACAACCTGGTATTTGGATAATAGGATACTACATTATTAGGATAAATACGTAATGCAGATAGGCTACGTCGTATGGCTTCGTTTTGGGGGATGGGGGTGGGAAGTGTTTAGTTACTACTTGTAATATGTTGGTGCCTGTAGTACAGTGAGATCTAATGACCCAGCCCCACCACAGCAAACCTGCTCATTTCTGTGCAGAGGGATTTCCAAACCATACCTTACCTGTGCTTACTCAAACTTTTTCCAGTGATCAGCTTGAGCCACCAGAGTGAAACAGTGGGAATACAGTGGAATAACATCTGCATCTGCTTATGGAGGAGCTTCTTACCTTTTTATCCTAAATGTATTTTTCTTGGTAGGCTACGGAAATTCTTAGAAAATAATCAAATGTGCAAGAAGCATATTGCCCCGTCACCACCTGTGGGGATGTCCACATGACCTTATGAAACTCAGACTAATAAATCAGGCATTTTTGGGGCTCAGAAATGGAGACTAAATCTGGTGGGGTTTTTGGTGGAGGTGAGGGTTTGGGGGCCTCAGGGATAAAGTTCTGTGTTGCTGGCACTTGGAACCAGTCCCAGCGGGCCAGTCCTAAGGCTGTGAAAGTGACTTCAGTCCTGTGTTTTGGGAGTGCTCATCCAAGCAGTTTAAGTCCTTGAACAGAGAGCCCAAATCGTGCATTTTGGGGGCTCAGGAACAGTATCCAAACCCTGTGTGTGCTTGGAACATGGAGCCCTGGCCCCGCACTGTCAGGGTTTGGCCCCCCTCAGCTCATCGGGGGGGACCAGAATACAGGTCAAGCCTTACCTTGTTGGGTTCTGCAGCCCAGCCACAGCGTTGTGAGGCTCATGTGGCCAGTGTGTGGAGGATCCAAACAAGTCCCCATCGCTGTTTCAGGCCGTGGAGCCCCCACTGCTGTTCCTGAGAGGGGCAGGGTCTCTCCAAGGTGGTCCCAGGGCACGAGGCGGTTCGGGAAGTGCCGAGATGACCATTCCCAGGTTGTTCCCCGGCTGGGGCTGCTCGGGGGCTGTGACCCCAGTGCAGGCGACTGCAGGACCGGGTGGACGGCGCCGGGGCAGCCCCAGCACGGCCGGTGATTTCCAGCCTTTATTCGGTACCTGTGCGGAGCCGCCGCGCCCATTCAGCGCCCCCGGCACCGGCAGAGCCGCGGTGGGTCCCATGGCCGGAGCCCTGGACAGGAGAGGAGAGGAAACAGCGGACTTAGCGGGGCTCCCCCTGCCCGCGGTGGGGTGACACTGGGGGCCAGGCCAGGGCTTGGGGAGCCAGGAGCTTCGGAAACCTCGGAGCCGAGGCACGGGGCGGGACAGAGCCCCGGGACCCGCAGGGATCTGCAGCACCGACCGGATCGCCCCTGCCAGCTCCACAGCCCGAGAGACCCGGCCCCGTGCGCAGCTGCGGCCCCAACCCCGGCCGATCCTCACCGTTCCCGGGCTCTGCACAGCACCAGGAGCAGCCCCGCGCCGGGGCTCCGGCTCCGAGCGCTGGCGCTTCCGCGCCCCCTGGAACAGCACGTGCGACCCAGGGCGGGGCGTGCGCGGCTCTGCCGGGAAGTACGGGAGGCGGGAGGGGCGGGGACCAAGGGGCGGGGCCGGCACAGGTGGGCGGGGGGCGGGGACAGGACAGGTGCGCGGGGCCACAGAGCGCCTGCGCAGAGCGGGGCCCAGGGGGCGGGGGCGCACAGGTGAGCGGGGCGGGGCCGCACAGGTGCGCGGGGCCCCAGGGCGGCTGCGCAGGGCGGCACCGAGAGTATTTAAGCGCCGGAAATGGCCTACAGCGCCATTTGCCCGGCTAGTGCGCGGACGGGGTGGCTCGTTCGGGGCCGGCTCCCCCGGGCCGGGCTTCCCCGGGGGCCCAGGTGAGACGCGGGGGCTTCGGCCCCCTACGTCTCTTCCTCTATATTCCTCTATACCTCTCATTTCTCCCCTCCCTTCCTCCCCTCCCCCACCCCCTACTCCCCCCCTCTCCCCCCTAGCCCTCCCCTCCTTCCCCCCCAAACTCGCTCTACCCCTACCCCCCTCCCTGCCCGCCTCCGGCCCCCGACCCACCCCTACCCTCCTTCGTCCCCCTCCTTCCTCCATCCTACCTGCCCTCCCCATTCCCCCCCCCCACCCCTGCTGCCCTCTGCCTGCCCTCACGCACCCCAACCCGCCCCACTCTGCCCTTCCTTCCTGCCTTGTCCCTCCCCGCTACCCAACACGAACCCCTCGTCTATGCCACCGCTACCCCTTCACCCTCCCCTCCCCCTAACCCGGTCCCCCTCTACCCCTGTCCCCCTACACACCCCGACCCTTCCCCCTCTACTCCTTGTTCCTTCCTCCACCCTACCTGTCCGTCCTCACCCTGCCTTCCTCCCCGCTCCCCCTCTACTCCCCTTCTCTCCCCCTCTTTCCCCTATACCCTCTGT